GGTGAGATTTGAACAGCCGAATTGCAGAACTGCAGTCAGCTGAAGTAGCCTGCAGTGCTGCACTCTAACCACCTCCCCAAAAATAAAGCCAAGCGCCTATTTTGGGGATCAAAAGAAAATAAGACCCTGTCTTATTTTGGGAGAAACACGGTATATATGGGCCCAATCCACCTGACAATCTGGTGTTGTGTCAAAAGTATGAGGAGGAAGGACTATTATGTATTTTTGCCACCTTGAGTTACTAAAAGCAGAATAAAAAATTAGTAAGTAAATCTGAATGTCAAGCTCACACTATTTAATCTTATTTTTAAATTAATACATAGTATCTGATTGTAACAACACTTCAAACAAGGAATTGCTTTGTTCTGAACCAGACTACTAGTCCGCTTATCTCAGTATCACCCAATCCAATTTGAAACAGATTATTAAATTGAGGAATATAGAGAATTAAGTTTTTTTTTAAATTTACTCTCACATAGACATAAAAATGTCTGTTTGCTATTGTTCAAGCTTAGGTTTTACAGAAGGGGTGTCCATCCAACCTTGGTGATGTGAAGACTTGTGAATTTCAACTCCCAGAATTCCCCAGCTAGAACGGGGATGGCTGGCTGGGAAATTCTGGGAGTTGAAATCCACAGGCATTCAAGTCACCAAGATTGGATATTCCTACTTTAGAATATTTTACTTTGCCCTTCTTAGCAACATTTACTATTGAATAGACTCATCAGATTTTCCGTGAAAAACGTGGCACAAAGCAGGGTTACTAAATGGAAGCCTGCTTAAGACACAGAAGTAAGAAGCCCTCACCCAGAATTCCCGGCCATGCTTGCTGGGAACAATGGGATTGTATTCCTGTACCTCTAAAAGTTGGGGAAGGGAGCAATAATGGAAGCCTCTTCCTGATGGGATGAAATACAGCTAGCCTTCGACTTACGACCACAATTAAGCCCAGCAGTTCTGCTGGTGAGACATTTGTCAAGTGAGTTTCACCCCCATTTTACCACCTTTCTTGCCACCGTCGTTAAGTGAATCACTGCAGTTGTTAAATGACTAATATCATTGTTAAAAGAATCTGGCTTCCCCATCGATTTTGCTTGTCAGGTCACAAAAAGGGACCACATGACCCCAGGACACTGTGACTGTCATAAATATGAGACAGTTGCTAAGAATCTGAATTTTGATCACTGTGACCATGGGAATGCTACAAAGGTTGTAAGTGTGAGAAATGGCCATAAGTCACTTTCGTCCGTGCAGTTGTAACTTTGAACGGTCACTATACGAACTGCCTGTACTCTGGCAGGGACGACACTATACGAACTGCCTGTACTCTGCCCATGCTCAAAGGCGCTCTTATTCTGAGGCAGCCAGGTTCCTGGCCTGCCTGCGCCTCTTCCTTCCCAGGCTGGAGCTATCAATACGGGGGGAGGTGCTCAGCGCCTCCACGCCGCCACCCCGTCCTTTTCAGCTCCCCGACCCGCCAGGAGGATCATCCCCAGGCCTCCTTTTACCCTTTTACTCCTTTGCCCGCAAGGACAGAGACCAGCGTCCTTCCCGTTGCTTAGCAACTCCAATTAAGACGGCAAGCGGGGAGGGTCAAAGGAGCGGAAAATCGTGCGGTTGGCTTCTCTGGTCTGCCGACCCCGTTTGTTGATTGGATGAAGTTTCCGCCCTTCAATGACCAAACCTTTTCCTCTCCTCCTCCTCCCGCTTGAAGCCCGCCCCCAACTAAAATCTCGTCCCGCCCCGATGACTCAGCGTGGTTGGTTTCTCCTAGGTCGGCCCACTCCGCCTGCCGATTGGCTGCGAGCTCCGTCCTTCAGCCACCAAACCTTTCCCCGCCCCCTTCCCCCCCCTTGAGCCCGGCCCCATTTAAAATCCGGTGTCCCCCCCCCCCCGGTGCCTCACCGCGTTCTCGGTTGTTTTTCTGGGCGCCGGTGAAGGAGGCGGTGGCGCGGCCGAGGTTTTAAAGTCCAAGCGGGGAGCCTGCGCTCCTAGTGCGTCTTCTCAGGGCCCATGGAGTGGGGACTCTGCGGGCTGGGCGGGCCTGAGGCCGCGCTTTAGACGGGCCCCGGGGCGGTGACGCCACAGAGGGGGCCGCGGTGACGTCACACACCGGGCCTCTTGGCAACCTGGCGGGGGTCTCATGGCAGGTGGGGGGGGGCTCCGCCCGGGTTACGCGGGGGGAAGCTCTTCCGCCCCCACCCCCACCCCCGAGCCTTTGCAGATGGGGTAGGCTGTGAGGTCGGTTATGGGCGCCGAGGGCCCCGCACTATGGACTTTGTAGTACTTGCGATGTGGTTTTTGTAGTACTGTTGTTGCACTTGGCCAACTTGCATGGGTTTTTTGGGTTTGTATTTTGCAATTGGCCCTTTTCAAAATGGGCGGCTCATGATTTGCCCCTGCCTAAGCTTTAACCTTCAGGAAAAGCCTCCCTTTTAGAAGCCAGGAGTGGCAAAAGGGCTTATTCAGATGCCTTGTAGATAACAAGCTTCGTTTTCAGGTGTTCTCAAGCCTCCCAGGAACAAAAAGAGAGAGAGCCAGTTTTGAGGCTCAGTGATGGGAAGTGTTGAAAACATGTATCTTACATATATCCATTCTGACATTTTTCTTTGCAAATGTTCCTTTTGCTTTTATCCAGAGTACAGCGCTCCTTTCAATCTTAGCTGGAATACAGATACCGATTAACAGAATTGGAAGGGACCTTGTAAGATCATCTAGTCCAGTGGTCTCCAACCTTGGCAACTTTTAAGACTTGTGGACTTCAACTCTCAGAGTTCCTCAGCCAGCAAAGCTGAAGTCCACAGGTCTTAAAGTTGCCAAGGTTGGAGACCACTGATGTAGTACAACACTCCCCCCCCCCCCAAGCAGGAGACCCTATTACACCGTACTCCCATGTTTTAATTCTTATGCCGTAACTAGACAGATGACTTTTCCCTACCCAATCAAAAACTTTTTATGTATGCAAACTATAAAAAGGGAAGGTGCGATTTCTCCCCTTTGTTCTCTCTCTTGTGAAATCAATAAGAGAACCCTTTTCATTTGAAATGTTTCAAATGAATCCTAAATCAATGTTTCTGGAGGGAGGGGCACCAGGTTGCTGAAGGGGATATTGGAGCAGATATTAGAATGCAGACACAAGGCTGGATTTACCCATCAAGGCCCTACAGCATATCTTCGAACAGAGGTTCCCAACAGGGGTGAGATGATATTCCAGGGGGTCTGAAAATGTGGGTTTAGAAGTTTCAAAATTATAGTGTGTATGCATAATTATATGCACATAATTATTTACTTTTGTAAGTGGTGCGAAAATATATCAGAAGTGTTCTGGAGGTGTGGGGTAGAGAAAAGATTAGGAACCCCTGTCCTAGAATTTTGTAGGAAGCTCTCTGTCATTTCCATATTAAGCTGCTGGGCAGATTTAGCCACTTGGGGCTTATTCCAAAATAATTTATTTTTTATAATAATTTTTTTTGTATAGAAAATTAAAATACAAACTCCAAAGGAAAAAGTGGGGTTTTTTTCTCCGCCGTTTGTATTTTATTTTTTGAATAGTTCAAAGAACACACGATTTGTCATTATCTATGAACCCAATGTATCACCAAAATTTCCATTGCTAAGTATGTCATTATGTATAAACCCAACACTGCAGATAATAGTGTACCGTCATGGCCAAAAATGTGTGGTCTTTCTCACCATCCTAAGCATCTGCTATGGCTTTTGCCAAGGGTGTGTTTTCTGTCTCTCAATCTATCCAGCACTCCTGGGGTGTCCTGGTGATTCCCACATGAGTTTGCACACATGTCCTTCCTTGAAATGCTTAGCTGACCTTTCAGAATACTATACAAGCCATTCTTTCAGAGTAAAGAGGGTGAAGTTTCATAGAGGGGTGTCAGGGTGAAGTTGCAAAGAAGAAATGGGGCAGGAAGCAAAAGGTGGCTAGTTTACACACAAAAGCATTATGTGGATTGTATCCAGGCTTAGTGAATAAGCTAGATTTTTTTTTTAAAAAAAAACCCTTTTAATTGGGGAACCCAGCCCCTCAATGTACTAAGCCCAAATTGTGGCTTTGCAGAGTTACAAGTGCCAATAATGTAACAAGTGAGATAGATTTGAATCAAAAAGAATTTCTCAGGAGGTACTAGGAAACAGTCAACTGCTTTGCTAGCCTTACAGCCTCCCCCCCCCCCTTTCAGAGGTTACTTTCTCCCTACCACCCCTACGTTACTTCCTGGCTTGGATCAGCCCAGTGTGAGGTCACAAGGAGATTGCTGTCTTTAAAATACAGACTCCGGATATTCTCTGCTCCCCGAATTGCATGCTCTGACTTTGTGACTTCATGCTGTCAAAATAGACGATGGAGACTTCCTTGCTATTCACGTTGCTCTTGACTTGCGCAGCAGGTGAGTGAGAAGAGACAGTTTCTGCCGCTACTTGTGAATGGGCACTACTGGCCAGGCAAGTGCAATCTGGAGGAAACTCTCTGTTGAAAATACAATAGCAGCATTTAGCTGGTAGGAATTTTGCTTCCCTTCCTTGATGCTAAGCTTCCATCAGATGCTTTTTGTTTGTATCTTGTACAGGATGAGCTTCCTTGAGCAAAATCCTGAACAAAGTTTGTTTAAGCCTTTGGTGAGGATAAGTCAGATAATTAGCTCATCTCAGTGGAGGAATAACTTTAAACATATTTACAAAGAAAGTCCCTTGAGTTCAGTGCCCCAACAGAATTTACTCCTGGGTGTATTCAGGATTGCATCTTTTTAAAGAGTTTTGTTAACAGTTTGTTGCCCCTTTGATAAAGGGTTTATTATATTTTCTTGCAATTTTCTCAGACTTTTCCAATTTTTATGCTGTATCCTGAAAAGCAGCATGCAGTTTTTCCTACTACACAACAGTAAACGGAAACACTACTTGTTTGGCATCCTGCCTTAGCCCAGCGACTGTTTCTTATATTGCATATCCGATGGCCTATATTCTCTAGCATCTGCAAATATAGGAGAGTATGAAACAAACCAGGCTGTAACTCAGTTAAATACTAAAATGATTCTTGCTAACAGAGATTCAAACGATGGGAGAAAAATATTGGCTGTTGGAGCCTTAATTTAAATGTTTACTCTCCAATATTTATCAACCTATATTTTTAATAACCCTCTTAAAATGTACTGTATTTTTCAAAGTATAAAACACACCTTTTTCCCTCAAAAAGGAGGCTGAAATACAGCATTTTTTTTGCCTCCCGAAACCCTATCCCCTTCACCAAAATGGCCATGCATAGCCTTTAGGAGCCTTGAAGAGTGCTCTTGAGGTCTGGGGAGGGCAGAAATGAAAGAAAAATGGGCCGTTTTTTGCTCAATTTTGCCCAGTCCCCAGGAGCACTCTATAAACTTCCTAAAGGCTATGCATGTCCTTTTTTTTGACAAAAAGGGCCATTTTTTGCTCGTTTTTGGGGGGGCACCCCCCAGGAGCATTCTACAAGCCTCCTAAAGGCTATTCATGTCCTTTTTGTTTTGTTTTTTTTGAAAGGCTCAAGTTTTGGGAGGTCTGCAAAGTGCAAAAACTTTTTTTTAAAAAATTGGCCTCTTCAAAATCTTGGTGCGTCTTATACTCCGGTGCTTCTTATACTCCGAAAAATATGGCAGCTAAGGTAGTCTCAAATAAAATATAAGAGGACCGATTCTTTTCTTTCAGTCATTCAATGTTAGGTATACGATGCTATATATGTATGTCTATTGGTGACTTTCAAGTAAATAATTATAGGGTTGCCATAGCTGTAAGGGAAGGAGGATTTTTTAAAAAGTCTTTTTTTATGGCTTTGCTCATACAATATGCTGAACCAAGTTATTTAAAGGCTTAACAGCTGGGTTTGTACAAGATGCTAGACTAGACTAAATGAGGAGACTGCCTTGTCGAGGAGAAGGGAGAGAGGAAGGACAGTGAGCAGCAGTTTTGAGCTTTGCTCTCTATAGGAATTGTCTTCACATGTTAGTTAATTGATCAATCACATTAAAGCAGACGTAAAGTGAGATTTGGACATTAAGTGTGAAACCTACTGGGTCAGGCTGGAC